CCCGAGCTCGGGGCATGACCCGCTCCCAGGCTGTGGCTGGGGGTCTGGAGGGGGATTTTGGCCAACCCCGTTTTTCCGCAGCTCTCGGCCAGGCTGCTGGGGACTTTGGATGAGGGGAAGGAAGGACGTGGGGCAGGGAGGGAAGGCCGCCGTGCGCTCTGTTTTGCTTGTGGAACCCAGAGCCTCAGTGCCAGCAGGCGCTCTGCCACCAAGCCTCCCTGCGGCCCTAGAGACTCGCCTCTAAAGAAAAGAGTAAAGACGTCCCAGGTCCCAGGGCATCCTGAGGGCGCAGAGAAGGAAGCCAGTGACATTCTGGGTTTGCTGAAAATAAGACAGGGCAGCCCCACACAGGCCGAGGGGAAACAGGGACAAGCACCCTGGTGGCCACAACTGGATTGGTAGGACAGTAGCCCTGGGGCGGGGTCAGCGCACCTCACCAGACAACACGGGCAGAAAGGGCAGAAACCAGGACGTGGCTGGTGTGGGTCGCTGGCACCACCTACTGGCCGCAGCAGGTCAGCACCGCCCTGAACCAACCAGTCCTGGGGAGCAGGTTGTGGGCTCAGCACCCAGCTGCAGCTCTGCCGGGCACTGCACCACAGGTGCTGAGCCGCACCCCTGGCTTCCACACCAGATGCCAGCGGCCCCTCCTCGCTAATTGTGACAACCAAACACATCTCCAGACATTGCCACATGTCCCTCAGGAGCTGAATTTTCCAGCAGGACTGACCAGTCTAGCTCCACCCCCGCAGAGAGGAGGGGCCTGGCCCGCCATTCCCTAAATGAGGCCAGCACTCACCACCCCAGGGCCTTTGCACGAGCTGCACCAGCTGTCTCCACCTCCCTCCCACCAACCTTCCAGGCCAGACCCCACCCCCCACTCCACCAAGCTGCAGGCCCGCTACAGCCCTGCCCACCTTGCGCTGCTCCTTCCTCATGACGTGTTTGTCCTCGTCCTTCCAGTACGCATCCTCCAGCTCCTTCTGCTTCTTGGCATCAGCTGCCGCTTTGGCCTCAGCCCTCCGTGCCCGGGCCGCCGCCGACTTGGTGTTCTCGCCCTGGAACTTCTTGGGCATCCCTCAGCAGGCTGCGGGGGGAGGACACGGCGGTGAAGGGGCGCTGCCAACCCCCGGCACCCCAACACACACATGGCGCTGTCACCCCCTGGGAGACCTCATGGTCTCCTCCCTCTCTGATATTTTATCAAGGTCAACTGGTGCCCGTCACCCCAGAAATAGGAGGCTGAGGCAGGAGGATCGAAAGTTTAAGGCCAGCCTAAGCAACCTAATGAGGCCCTGCCCCAAAATAAAAAATAAAAAGCGGGGGACATGGCTCAGGGGTGGGGCCCCGACATCACAAAAACAAACATCACCACCCAATCTGCAAAGTGAGCCACCAGAAGGGCGCGTGACCCCCATGTGACCCAGCCACCACCTCTTCTAGGCCCAGCGCCTTCCCATCACCTCAGGAGACCCCGCCCCTCAGTCACTCCCCACCCCAGGCCCTGATCTTCTCTGGGTCTGGTGACAGGATGTTCTGGACACTTGACATGAACGGAACCACATGTTCTATGTCCCTTTGCGCATGGCTTCTGCCCCTCAGCCTCACGTTCTCCAGGCTCCTTCTCTGTGTCTTGGAGCCCGTCAGTGCTTCATTCCTTTCCTGGCTGCGTAATATTCCACTGAAGGATAAGCCACTTTTTGGGGTACCAGGGATTGAACCCAGGGGTGCTGTACCACTGAGCCACACTCCCAGCCTTAACTTGCTGACATTGGCCTTGAACTCACGACCTTCTGCCTCAGCCTCGAGCAGCTGGATCACCCTGCGTTCCACGGCGCCCTGCTGACGTGCCAGGCTTTGTTTATCCACTCGTCTGCCAACGGGCGTCTGCTGGACATCTGCGTAGTTTCTGCTTTTTGGCTTTTCTGAGTCATTCTACAGTGGGCCCCAGCGTCCCCTCCCACTCTGCCACTAGCAGGACTCAGAGCCAGTGACTCCCACAGTGGACGCTGGGGACCTCACACACCACGGCGGGTGCCCCCTTTCCTTAGTGGAGCACCTTACGCGGCCCAGCTCCACAGGGCGCTCCCCAAACCCGAAACCTGGAGTTGTCATTAGCCCCACTCAGAGGTGGGGAAGCCCAGGTCCCCGTCAGGTCACACAGGGCTCTACATGAAGTGTCACTTGCAAAGCAAGCTTCTCAGATGGCAGGAAGGCATGCTGCAGGGACGCAGGGCCCTGGAGTGTGGAGCCCTCCCCCACCCCCCCCCCCTCCAGAAACCCTGACAGCAGCCACCGAGGGGAGGTTCTGGACAGAGGTGAGGACGTGCAAAGGCCCGTGGGCAGGAAAGGGCTGCGCCTCACAGGCCACCGCAGAGGCCACTGCGGGCCAGTGGGGAGCAGGGGGGAGGGCAAGGCGAGGGGTCCTGGGCCGAGGCAGCTCTGAGCAGGCCATGAACGCGTGCTCGCTGAGGCTGCTCCGGCTGCGGCTGTGGCGAGGCTGGGGTGGGCCGCACCATGGTGTCGTGGGCAGGGCTAAGCCTGAACCCCTCGGGGCCAGGCCGTGATGGTAACCGGGAGGTGAGCGCAGGTCACACCGGGCACATTCTAAAACACTGCGTCCCTGGCTGGGCCTGGGGGTCCACAGATGGGGCTTTGACAGTGTCACTGACATTCCCAGAGGTCCCAGAGCTGGCAGCGGAAAGCCAGGATTCCAGCCCTTCCCAGCCCCTCAGTCCTGTGTCCCTGACCACTGTCGTGCTCCAGGGTCCCCCAGCTGCCCCCCAAGAAACACCAGTGCAGGTCAAGATGCTGGGGTCACTGGGCCCCCCAACCCCGAGGCTGGGCGGAGCAGGGCAGAGTGGGGACACGAGTTGCACCAAGGAGTGAGGGGCACAAGAGCTGGCTGTGTGACGAGCTGAGGTCCCTGAAGCCCCACTTCTCCCAGCCCTTCCTCAGACCCCTGAGTCTTACAGTGCACCCCGCAGAAGACCCATCTGGGAGCCCCAGGAGACCACGGCAGGGGGGGTCACTGCTCAGGACGCAGACGAGGCCCCGAGGCTCTCGCTAAGGCCCTCTTTGCTGCCTGTCCCACCCACCTCCTTGCTTCTCCCCTTCCCTCACCGAGAGGCCTCTTTGCTGTTCTTCAAATCCTCAAGCAGGTTTCCACCTCAGGGCCTTGGCACTTGCTCCTCCCTGCACCTGGTACTCTTTGCCCCTCTTTTTATGTAGCAAACACCTATTTAAACTTCAGGGCCAGACTCAGGAGTTCCCACCTGCAGGAAGCCTTCCCTAAGACCTCCTCCGATTCTTTCAGGTCACAAACCTCTCTTGGAGACATGTACCTGGGTCGCTATTTTAGATTCATTTAGATGGTCACCTGATAAGTGTCCCTCGTTCCTACCAGGCTGGAGTGAGCAGGTGGCCGGCAGCACAGCAGAAAGATGCCTCACCAGAACTGAATGAGCAGGAATCCCACCCTCCACGTCAGAGGAAACCTATTTGTTGTTTAAACGGTCAGGCTCAGCTGGCCAAGCTAACACAGACACCCTTCCTTTCCTGCAGGTCACTCAACACACACACAGTAACTAGTGGGTGTGGGGTGTACGTTAAGAAGTGGCCCTGAGCTGCCTGGGTGCACAGGACTCCCCAGGCTGACAGGAAGATAGATGAGTGACAGGAGGTACAAGATGCAACCGGCCAGGCTGGACCTGCAGCTGTGGCAGAGCACTGATGCACAGGCCCTGGCTTCCATCCCCAGCACCACGCCCCCTCAGACACAATCAGAGCTGTGAGGACACTCAGGGCACTGGGAGGGGGCTCTCTGACCCTGCCTGGATTGATGGCCCCTGAGAAAAGGTACAAAATGGGCTGGGGCTGAGTGGCAGAGCACCTGCCTAGCATGTGCGAGGCCCTGGGTTCGATCCTCAGCACCACATAAAAACAAATAAAATAAAGGTATTGTGTCC